GGAAAGAACAAACAATGTCCTCTCCATTCCGACTAGCATCGGCCTCTATAGCAACGATCTTGAGAAGAGCTAAGTCCCTTCTTGCATCCCAAGCTACGCATTCGGCCTGTACCGCCAAACCGGTACAGAATAGGAGCCAGCGACGTTTGTCTGACGTCTGCAGTTCCTCCTCTGTATCCCCGAAGCAGTGTGCACATGTTAACGCCCAGCCATCTGATCCAATGCAAACTGCAGTCCCGGCTTCATATTGGGAAAATATCAATGTTGCTTGAAGGCCATTATGGGCATATAGGTTGCCTCCACCCAAACACTCCCTTGCCTCTCGGTCCAGGGAGGCTTTATCCGCTGCTAGTCGTCGTTGCTTTTGCCTTAGAAGCTTTTGCTCCGATGCAGTTAAGTCTGGAAGCCTGGACCCTGTGGGTATGACCTTGAGAACATTACACTGGCGCAGTGAGTCAGGTGCCCTACACTCCAGCCCTGCCAAGCCTAATGTTTTGCATGGCTCTGACTCAACGACGGCTTTAGCTGTGCCAGACCTCAGGTTACGCATCGTCATGCAGTGAACTGGGGTGTCTGCGGGGTTCTGATGTGGTGTCTTTCTATCGGGCACGTTATTCTACAGAGCAGTGTTAAGAGAGCAGGCAGCCATCCATCATAGGAGATCGAGAAGCCTTGGCGAGATCAGCAAAGGCGCGCCGAACAAAACTTCGGGCTTGCTCTTTACACGTAAGTTTGCCTCTAATGTCGCCTTTTTCGCAATATTTTCGTCTCTTAGCTGAGAATTTTCGTCAAATAGCTGATTAATTTGCTTTGCAGGTACTTGAACTCGTCTGTTCTCTCTTTGTCTCGTTCTTCTTCCTATACAGGTATATAGAACAATGAACACTGCTTGCTTATGTCATAAACGATACCTGTCACGTGAGCCTACGTCATAGGCTCCGCTGATTTCTCATTGGTCAATTGATTAGATTTAGCCACCCGCCATTAAATCGAACGTCATAACGTCAAACTGTTTTCTGGTGCACACTAACGATGGGCAAACCTAACACTCTCGCCAGTGATATCGGCTACGCTGCGGTTCACCTCAATTTCTTCTCTCAAACCATGTCGAACTTCTATCAAGATACCACTGTTCGTTTGATTCATTTCCCACCGGAGTTTGGACTAAACACCTTGTGGTTATGGCTAGCCGCATGCGTCCTACATCTATAGGATCTCGGATTGATCCTGACTCTGAGGATGGTAAGTAGTGCGCATACTATTTCCTCTCTGTATCAAGCTTTCCTAACGGCTTTTATTTGGGATATTCAGCTGCTAGTGCAGCGGCATTGTACGTTACGAAGCCGGAGAGAACAGGATTTAGAACTTCAAGCGGTATGCAACCTCCGGATATGAGGAAAAAGGGAGACAGTGTTGAATGTTGGGGTTCTCCTGAGCAATTTACTAAGATGCCTACTTGGGTGGCGATAGGGCTGCGCTCTGCGAGCAGCAAGCGGTCTTCGAGAGAAGCCGGCGAATATGACCTTGCACCTGCTAGTGCGGCCGCAAGCTATGTAACCCGTGGGGGATACGCAAAACCGGGGGTCACTAAGAAGCCTGATGCATCATTCCTTGACAAGCATGAAGAGGAGCCAGCGAGCTCTATTGGCTTAAAAGCCGCCTATAGATCCTTTCGGGATAGCGGGGTGTCGGGCTTAGGCGATGACAATATCAAAGATGAGGGTCCAGAGGCAAGAATGGCAGCAACGGGTGCCATGTCTTCAAGCCGAAAACAGGTGGAATCTATGGGGAGTCCTCCAGATGGGGTTTCTGACTTGACCGAGGCCCTTTCAGCGGCAACGATAAGCCATCGCGCCTCGCGATATGGAAAGCCCACCGCGGAGAAGAAGGTTGAATTTCAACTAAGTCCCAAAAGGCCCTATAACCCAGCTATTACCAATGCCCGAAGAGAGATGTATACCTCACACCCACCGGTGAGTACTACGATTGAAGAAAGTCGGAAAAGGGATACCCTACAAGCTGCCGCGGTTTCGATGGCAAAGCAGATGTATGCTATCATACCAAAGGAGGACTTAACCAAGGATGTGGAAACCTCGAGCTTTACTATGGAAGAGCCAGAGGAACGAGTATCCCGTCACCAACGCCCTTCAAGTGGAAGATATCAGCGGCCCCCTGAAGCTAGCACTATGTATGAAAATAATCGTCCCCGGTCCCAGCAGTATTTTACCGCTACCAAGGTTCGGCCAAGCTCTGAAGGCTTCACTGATCGTGGAAAGTATGGCGATGGTCCGATCAAGCGAGCTCGCACTCAGTCTAGGCGAGACAGGAATGAGGTATACTACGATGATGAAACCATGGATGCTGCGCAGAGGAATGTCAAGAGGATGATGGACAATATTGATAATCACATCTACAGTTATCATAAACGCCCATCACCGGCGATTATGAGAGAGTGGGAGCGTCATGCTAATGAGCTTGTGTTGGCTAACCGGGAATCCACTGCCTTTGTTGATGTTGGCCCAGAACAAATGAGAGCCGGCGCACCGCTACTCCCACCGAGAAACGTGGATGATATGGCAAGAGCAAGGGTGCGACCGGCCTTGCACAATATTGATGATGAAGTGGCAGAACGAAATTCGAGACGGATAACAGATAAGCTGGACGAGGAACGCTATCATCGTTTTATTAGCACCCAGATGGAGCGAGACAAGGAAGTCCGCCGGCTTAATAAAAAGATAATAGGTATGGATGGTTTAACTCTGAGTGTATTGGAAATACCTGCTAACAACGAGAGGTAGATTTCATGCACCACCCTGAGAAGGAAAGGCGATGGAAGCAGAAGAAGAGGTCATACGACAGATATGAGTCAGACGAAGAACCAGTGTCAACATGGCCATACCCTCCCAAGCGAGTGCGCAGTGAGGAAGGAAAGGGTGAAACCATACTCCAGGCTCTACAGGAAGGTGGAAGAATCCCAGACCGTCCTCCACGCCCATACTCCTCTCCAGAAACGGTCGATAAGCCCTCTGAGCCAATCAGTCTCCCAACAGAGACAGCTGAAGCTGCCGAGACTACTGAGGCTACTGAGGCCCCTAAAGTCGCGGATGGCACCGAGTTAACTCAAGAGGCGCCCACCGCTGAAGAAGCAACTAATGAAGAGACCGCTCTTACTGAACAGGCTGGGTCCCAGGCGAAACACATCCGCAGGCAAAAGGCTATCCACAAGACTTGGTTCACAAAACCACAAGAGGATGCTGCGGGAGATGAGCCACCACGCGAAGTAGAGCGAATCGAAGAGCGGATAGTGACTGAGATAGAGAAAGAACGTCCCGCAACTCCTGACCAGTCCACAGCTCCAATGGCTTCAGGGGCGATAATACCCGACAGTCCACACCACGCGCCATCGAGCCATTGGAGTAGCTCAAACGAGGGATCTAGCCACGGGAGTCCTGGAGGTCAGAGACAGGAGGATGGAACCAGGCCCAAGAAACGAATGGCATTTCCGCATCTGTTCCAGCGGCCTGCTAGGCGAACCGGAAATCAGGGCTCATTCACTGTCAACAGACGCTCTGTGCCAGAAGACTTAGGCTCTCAAACCAGCCCTATTCCAGGAGAGGCAGGAAGCGGAAGCCCAGTCACAGCTGGATCTAGGCTATCTAGATTCCAAGAAAATCTTTAAATATATTTATTCTATTATCGATTCATCAGGTTTGTATACCCGTCCACCACTTGGGACTGTTTTTGTACTTTTAGGATATTTCGGGACTTAAATAGGATTTTTCGGGCTTTAAATATAACAAAATAAGTGTGTGTTGCCGTTGAGAGTCCTTGAAAGGGACCCTTTCAAATAACAGAGCTATCTCACGTATTAATTATCACTGCTCATGGAGTCAATATAGTCCTCCTCCCCTACGCTGGGAATAGGGAATAAGTTATTATTACGTCAGCCTTCGGACTTAAGGTTAGAGTTATTATTAAGCATCAGGTTCCCGTTTCTTGGCACTGCGGGTTTATCTTTCTTTACGAGGTTTCATCGTTGATTCCCAGCGAACCAACTCGCTGCAGGAAAATCCGGGGTTCTTTTATACGGAGCAACGCCGACACGCGACAGGGCGCCAGGAGGCTGTAGGAGAGGAAATTCGATTTTTCATTACCTTGAGAGAGTTGGAGAAAAGGGAGACTGATCAAGGAACGACAATCGACGTTGTACTCCGTACCACTAACCCACCAACCAGTTAGATCGGTACTTAACCAAGTCAATGTTGATCCTTCTTCACGCAAAGCCGAAATTCCCTGTCAACACCATGATCCTTTGACGCACATAAGATCTAAGCGACCTCGCACGGGATGAAGACGTGAGGAGAAGCCCGAAGCGCGGATCCTCTCCCGTTTGATTCAAGTTTCTAACGGCGGGTACGGGATTCACTCCATCTGAACTACTTATTACACCAATAGATATACCCCAGAGGTATCTCTATTACTCCATCACCATTTCCTCTGCGCCACCCTCTCGTCTGTCCTCATTATAGCCGGCTACTTGGAAATCGACTGGTATAGTTTGTCTCCTTTTCAAACACCGCCATAGCTATCAAAGCTTGCTGCAGCTCATACTTCAGAATGGGTGTCGTAAGCTTCCTTCGAAGCCGCCATATACGCGCGAGAAACGATCAGGTCACCAATGCCGCCCAACTAACATTACGGCAGAGTCTGTGGCCGCTCACTATTGTGACCATCCTATTCTTCCTATGGGTTGGTTCTACCTTGATCATTTTCTACCCTGGAGCGGGAATCAAACTCTGAGTGCTTTTAGGGTTTTGCGTACGGCCTGCTTGACACTCTCAATAAACACTTCCAGAACACGCTAGGAATCACGCGAACCCGTTCATCAGGACTACAAGCTGCATACTTTGGGTATTTCTCTCCCTTTCCCAGATAGAGCTTACTGTGTTGATCAAATATATAGGGCGTATCCCCTTGCTTCCCTTGGTTATGCTAACTGGATGCTCCGGAACTGGGGTTACAAATCTGTGTTTATCCTGGGTTTATCTCTCTATGGGATTGGGGCCCTCTGTATGTGGCCAGCTGGGTTACATCAATCATTTGGCGGATTCTGCGGCGCAACATTTGTCATTGGCTCCGGGCTGGGATCTCTCGAAACTGCCGCAAACCCGTATCTTTCGGGTACGTAGCATTTATCATGCATGCCAAACATATCCTTGCTAATTTAATGCCCTGTAGTTTGCGGTCCACCAAAATATGCCGAAATCCGAATCAACTTTGCTCAGGCTTTCAACGCCATTGGCACAGTTGTAGGACCTGTACTTGGCTCGTATGTGTTTTTCACTACAACAGCTGATAATGTCAATGCGCTGCAAAGAGTTCAATGGGTTTATCTTGCTATTGCAGTATTCGTCTTTTGCCTTGCAGCTGTTTTCTATATATCCGATATCCCGGAAGTGACGGATGCAGATATGGAATATCAGGTTGCTTTGACCCACGTTGAAGATAACAATGACTCTTTCTGGAAGAAATATCAGTTGTTCCATGCCGCATTCGCCCAATTTCTATACGTGGGCTCGCAAGGTACGTATAATTCCTCCATTGATATACATTCAATGTTGCCAGTAGCTTGTCTAATTAAAATCTCTAGTGGCAATTGCTTCATATTTCATCAACTATAGCGTGGAAACACGGGAGAATACTTCTAGTGCCCTGGGAGCGAAATTTCTCGCTGGTGCTCAGGGGGCCTTTACAGTTGGCCGATTTTCGGGGGCCTTGCTGATGAAGTTTATCCGGGCTAGGTGGATTTTCCTTGTATATCTCGCTGGAGTTTTTATCTTCCTAGCTGCATCCACTACACAGAGGGGTAATACAGGTGTTGGTAGGTGCCTGTTCCCAAGAATATAGACTGTTGAGAGGATGTTTGGTGGCTAACACTCTAGTAGCTATGCTTTTCATGGTTCTATTTTTCGAATCAGTTTGCTTCCCAACCATAGTCGCGCTTGGAATCCGGGGCCTAGGAAAACATTACAAGCGTGGATCCGGGTTCATTGTTGCTGGTGTTTCAGGCGGAGCCGCCGTTCCTCCACTGTTAGGCTATGTTGCTGATTTGCACGACTCTACTGGCTTCGCGATGATTGTACCAACGATTGTAAGGACCTTCATTTTGACTGGTTCAAGCATTCACCTTATTAGATACTAACGTGTTAATATTTAGCTTATGGCGGTAGCATGGACATATGCTATTTGTGTCAACTTTGTACCCTCGTATCGCGACCCGGCTGATAAAATTGGAGATAGTGACATTGGTATCACGGACGCTAGGGAGGATGAAGAACAAAAGGGGTCAGCCGAGGTTGCTGTTGACACCGCCGGAGTAAAGGAAAGTAGATAAGATCTATACTCGTGAATGGTTGAAATTTGCATACTTGTTTCGGCTAATTAGACTAGGAGAAATAAATTCAACTAGCTTCAATTATATAGCTAAGGAATCCTAATGTTGAAATCGAACTGTAGTCCATACTGAGTTTAATGAAAATATACTTTGTGTCTAGCGTTGAAGACTAACTACGTACATGTCCAGATATTATGAAAAGGCCTAGAAAAGAGTCGTAATGGATGTATATACGAGCAGTGCAAACCATCAAATGTAACTAGGCCTTCCAAATATATGCATCAGACAGGCCTGATTATGAAAGAACAATAACTCTTATGATCAGGAGATGATAGCTCACGAGTGAAAAAAGGGAACAAGTAAAGGGGTTGGCAGTTGAAATACATACCAAAGCGAATAATAAAAGATGTAAGGCGTAAAAGTATGCTGAGTAGAAAATGAAAGAGAGTCGATGAGACAGGAGGTGCATTTTGAATTGTACTCGGAAGGACAGAACCTGACGAGACTCCAATTTATCAAAATGGAAAATTGGTATCAATGGGTCATGTAATAATGTAAGCGAGAGTCTGGACAATAAGAGAGGAATATGGGTACATAAGATATATAGTAGACCTGGGAGGGAAAAGAAAAATAAACAGGGACAAAAAAAAAGACTTTATATATATCCTGACAAATGAAATGGAAGTAGATGATGTAACGCAGGGGATATCACAATGGAGTAAATTCGTGTCATTTATACTGATGGAAAAGAAAGGAGAGGAGGGAAGAGAGCGAGAGAGGAAAAGATCTAGCTGCTTGTGGCGGTCGAGGTTTTCTTGAGAGTAGGAGATGTTTCTGCTATATTGTCCAGGGAATCACTTGCATTTAAACTGCCGGGGGAACCATTTTTGGCTTCTCGAAGTGATGATGAACGCGGCGGGCGTAAAGGGGATCGGTCATGCTCTGTTGATGGTATTTTTGAAAAAGAAGGAAGTTCGGTGATTTCGGCGGCGGGAAGAAGTTGACGAGAATCAGGGGATCCATCACGCTCGGAGCCAGAGCGAAGATTGGCTGGGTCCATTGTTGCAGCGGCAGCTATTGCATTGGCATATTTAGCATCAAGGGATGAAGATTCAGGAAAACCTGGGCCCCGTTCGTCGGTTGGACTGAAGCAGTCTACTTCTTCCGTGGTGTCATCTGGCAATACTTCGTCCTCCTCTTCTTCTATGATTTGGCTCTTTCGTGCTCCGGCCATCATTATCTCACCTGAGGCTACGCTGCTAGCCCTGCTGCGCATAAGACTGGGGGTGCCGGGTCCAGCGCCGGAAAGCATATGTGTCGAGCTAAGCGTGGGACCCTTGAAGGTGGCTCGCTTCCTGCGGGCAAAGATGGGCCCAGACGAAGGCGAAGGTATAAGTGCAGGAGCAGCTTCATTGAAGGCACTTGTTAGGCTGTTGTTTGGGCCTCCTCTTACGAGTCGAATGTTGCTTGGAAAGACGGACATGGAGGTTGGTGTGGCGGGAAGGATCTTAATGGAAGAATGAGGAGAGCGTCCGAGGGCTTTGGCAGAGGGACCGGTTGGGGTCGAGACGGTGTCGATGCTGTTGGAGGATATAGAGGATGTTTTTGAATGGGAGTGAGCGTGGTGAACGGTGCGAATGGAGGAGACAGATGAAGAAGTAGACTTGCGTCCTCTTAAACCAGCAGAGGAGCGGCGGTATGAGTTTCGAGGGGTTAGTGGAGACGGAGAGAGGGAGTTGCGGTTATGTGAGCTCGAGGTATTCAGGGGTCGCTGGGTGTGAGATGACGTCCGCCTGGCGCCGGGGTAAGAAGCATTGCTGAGTGCCAGACTGCTAGCATTAGAAGATCGTTTGGCCGTGGGAGTTTGCTGGTTCTGAGGGAAATTAGGACTTGTGGGCGTGACGGCTGCGTCCTTGTTGGGTGTATCTCCCTTCTTTGGGGGGCTCGAGTGATTGGAGAGGAATTTTCTGGTAGAGCTGGAGAAGGCCTTCGGATGTGGTGATTTGGCGCGTTTGGTAGACTCTATTATCCAGTGTTTGAGCTGCGCCAGCTGGCTGATGATAGGGTATTGGCGACGCCGTGCTCCTTGCCGTCGTAAGATCCCCTGAGGACGCGTTAGATCCGGCTGAGACGCACTTAGGTGATAATTGCTTCCTTTGGAGATCCGCCGTTCCTTAGGAGGAGGCACAGGACGGCCTCTGGAAGTAGATCTAGGGGGTCGCGGGAAGTCCTTCTCTACCGGAGGGGGAGGTGGTAGCGGAGGAGTGAGCAGACCGTCTGAAGACGGCGCAGTTTCAGGCAGCTTTGGCAGATCTGGGACGTTCAATTGCTCTGTAAAAAAGAAGTTAGTATAAGTGATCTGAACAATGACATTAGATCATGTAGGCGTCCTTACGACTCGTCAAGCTTCGTCTTTCCCGTCTGCCTCGCGACCTGGGATCTTCAGGATGCCCTTCTTCATCTACCTCGACAAGAGCAGCAGATATCCGTTCCAGCCGGCTGCTTGCAGCGCTCAGTCGCCGTAGATTCTTAGCCTCGGCTTCCTTTTCCCGTCTCTTTCTTTCTCTGCGTCTCTCCTTGCGCTCCTCCTTTTCGATCAACAGCGTCCACCAGCCTGCCAGAGCGTCGCATCGCTGTGCTAGCACATTCTGCATGACCTGTTCCGTATTTACGCCTGCGCTCCGCATACGCTCCAGCGTTGCCTTTTCCAGCGGAGTTGAGAAAGGAGGAGGTCGAGTGAGCTTCAGATTGGCCTGCTGTTGGGGAGCAAATTCAGCTAGGAACGGATGGGCCAGGACATCACTGAGAGTCGGACGGAGAAGCGGACGTTTTGAGAGCAGCAAATTGATCAGTGATTTGGCGTCGTCCGGGAACCGGTCGGTATATTTGGGCTCTTCGGTGAGAATCCTGGATTTGGTGACTTGATCATCGTCATCGTCCCATGGCAATTCTCCAGCTATGAGGGCGTAGAGAATGATCCCCAGACTCCAGACGTCGACTTTTTCTCCAGCGTATTTCTCGCCTTTGAGCATCTCAGGAGCACTGTAGCATATCGTCCCGCAGAAAGTTTGGAGATAGCTAGCCTTGCCGTCGTATTCTCTTGTGAAGCCAAAATCGCATAGTTTCACATTCTCATGTTTATCCAGGAGGATGTTCTCCAGCTTGAGATCTCGATGAACGCAGGACTTGCTGTGGACGTATGCAACGGCGCCGACTAGCTGTGTGAATATCTTCTGGGTCTTTTCAATTGGCATGGGCCCATTCTGAAGGAGGTGGTTGTACAATTCGTCACCTACGGCATATTAGCATGTTCCGGCTTTTCCTGTAGGGAATTAATTTTCAAGACAAATGCAAATGCGCACCAGGACAGTATTCCAGCACCAGCCACACGAGCTTCTCTGTCACTATCACCTCGTACAGCCTGGCAATGTGAGGGTGGTGAAATTGGCGGTGGTGGTGTATTTCGCGGGCGAGGTTGGGATCCTCTCGAGACGAGGACTTGAGCACAACCTATCAATCCACCTTTAGCCACTTGTTTCGGCGTAATAGACACCATGTATCTCCCCGTATTTCTCTCATACCTTTGATCCATTTGTGAGCTTGTGTGTAGCCAGGTAGACCTTGCCAAAGGAGCCCTTCCCAATCAGCTTTCCGAGAGCGTAGTTCCCGACATTCCGCAGCTCTTTGGAAGAGAACTCGCTAGAGGACAACGCCCATCAGTATCTGTCTGTCTCCGTGCCTGCATCCCTGCTCCGGACTGTTGTAGAGGGTGTATCTGGTGTTCGAGGCGGGACTTACTTCAGGAGCTCATGGTACGAGTTGACAAGCTGTGACGACGAGACAAGAATCAGCCAACTCCGTCTTGATCAATTGATCTAGACCCAAGGGCAAGAAAAAAAGGACCATCTGCCAGGGACTCACCTTTTCCTTTTGAAGCTGCGACTCGGCCTTGGACTTTGGAGGTGGCATGTGTAGACAGAGCTGTCCGCCGCGCGGGCGAGGTCGAGGCAGGACGCGGTTTGGCTGCTGGTAGATGAAATTCGCCGGCCGAGTCTATCGATCAAGCTGCATCCCATTCGATGGAGAAGAAGAGAATAATAGTTATTGAATAGAAAAAGCGCTGCAGCTGCAGTTGTCCTTTTTTTTTTTTTTTTTTATTATTTCCTTTAATCCTGGCGAAGGCGAAAAAAAGAGTCGATTATGACGATGTGCCCCTTGTTCGCTCCCCTAACTAACGCCATCCAAAAAGCAACGAGCCGTGCAAAGAAATAATAAAATAGAAAGACGGGAGAAGAAGACGGAGGAGAAGGAGAACACCGGCAGGGAGCAGTTATAGAGCAGTAGAAATCGGTCGTGACGAGACGGAGGCGAGAGGCAGATCGAGATCGAGGAGATGGAAATGCGAAACAGGCTAGGTTAACCAAGCTGGCTGGCTCTTAGGGGGTTTGTTTGAGGGTCGCGCGTTGCTTTTTTGCTTTATTTTTATTTAGTCGAGTTGAGTTTAGCCTACGAGACGGTCTAGGGGGGGACGGACGGGCGATGATGATGATTGATGATGATTGATGATTGATGATTGACGATTGATATCTGACGTCTGATATTGATATTGATGTTGATGTTGACTGATAGTCATGGAGATGCCTATGGAGTCGCATGACGGCGTGAGATCTGCTGTGCTACGCGGGTGTACTTGGAGACTGACGGCAGCATCATGTCTTCTTCTTCCATGGGAGCGAGTCCAGGTGTCTGCGAACACGTCGACTGGCACACAGCATAGGGTCGACGGCGTCAAGGCCTTCTCCTCCTCCTCCTCCTCCCTCTGCTGCCCCCTCGCCAAAGAGTCCCAGAGACGCAAGGCCAAGGTATGAATGGAGCAGATCTTCCGGCGGTCTTGATTAGTCCACGAACCCGCACAGGGACATGCATCGAGCAAGGGATGGGCGGGAGACAAGGCTTCGGGCTTACCTGGCGGTTCTCCAGCGGACTTGCCAAACCCCCCGATCATATGCTGTGTCTTCTCGAGCAGGTAGCAGCGGTTGGCCTGCGAGTCGACCAGGCCCAGCTGGTCAAGCATCTACCGCCCATCGTGTGTACGTGTTAGTTGACGCTCTGAACTCGCGGCAGCAGAGATGGAGACCAATTAGGGAGTGAGACTCACGGCGAGCGAGCCAGTGACCCAGAAGCAGTAGCAGGTGTCAGCTATCTTGTTGGGTCTGCCGTTGAATCCGGCGCAGAGGCTCGTTGATGGTGACACTGCTTTCAGGCTTGGTAGCGAGGCTATGGCATCGTCAAGGGAGAGGCCAGCCTTGCTCTGATCTTGTGTCTCCGTCACAGGCTTGTCGTTGCCCGCCGTCTCACCTTCACCGTCCTCTTCTTCCTCTGCGGTTTCTTCCTGTTCGATGAACGTAGTCTGCCTGTAGACCAGCCACGATATCAGACGTTCATACTCCACAGAGCCAGGAACTGTCACCGAAGATGTAAACTTCTTCTCAGGCCGTAGACACCCAAGAAAGGATAGTGTACCAAGCGCACAGTATGTCAAACCAGCTATCAAATCATATAAGTAGAGTGAGATCTAGAGGGGGGTATCAAGGCAACACATACCATTGGACTCATTAAACGGAGACTCTGCGAACCCACCCTCATACGTCTAGAACAGCGTCAGAAGAGGTACATCTAGATATAAGACGCATAAGAAACACCTTACCTGGCAGGCCTGAACATAGTCAATCAGCTTTTCAGCGTCAATATCACTCCCTATATCAGTCTCGTCCTCGCCGCGCAAGATATATCTGATGCCCGCCGCACAGCAGCAGAACCTCAGATCTCGAGCTCCGTCAATGCTTCCCCCAGGCCCTAGAGTCTGTCCAAACGAGCCGTCTTCGCGCTGCATGCTGTTCAGCCAGGCGAGACATTCCCTCCGCCGGACCCGCGCCAGGTCGTCCTCCAGAATCAGCAGCGCCACCAACGCAAAGAACGTCGCGGGCACATTCGCCGGGTCCCAGCACTCGTTCTCCCGCGTCCTCTTCTCGTCTCCGAAATTGGCGCCCGTGAAGCCGCGGAACCCTCCTGTTGGCACCTGGCAGTAGTACAGCCAGTTGACGTAGCCGGCCCTCTCTGACGCTGATATCGCCGGCTTCTCGCCGCCCAATGCACCCAGCAGATCCAGCCCGGCCAGCGTAAAATACGCCAGCGTCATCCGGTTGGAGTCATTGGAGGTATAGGGATGCGGGAGCAGCGTCTTGAGACAGCGCAGGAAGTACTTGATCTGGCGGTCTTTTCGCAGCGCCATGGCGGATGGTAGCAGTTCCTGTCTGGCTTCTAGAGGCTCATGCCAGGGGTATATTTCGCATCCACGCAGTTAAATAAGGGTAGTTCCAGTCTTAATGGCGGCGTTAAGCAGATATCAAAGTGGCCCTGCTGGTGGGATGTTCGTGATAAGAAACCCTGCAGCTTTTTTTTTCCAGCTAAACAAAAAGTGACATCCTCACCTTCATCTCACCAACTAGTTAACTACCGCGACCCAGACATTCAACCGCCGCGACTACGATCAGATGTAAGGCTCAGCCAGCACCGAGACCACCGAGCGAGAGACCGTACTGCTCTCTTCCTGTCCTCCTCCGCCTGAGATCCTGCAGGAGGAGAGGCTGCCGTTCAGCGAGGGTGCTGAGGTCGTCCGCCAGCTAACTACCGGGGGCGCTCTCATCAGCCGGCGCCAGCAGTCCCAGAGAAGAGACAACACGATGGGCCGGATATCGTCCAAGACCTATATCAGGCTGCATGCCCTGTTCCAGGTGGTCCTGGCCGTCTACCTGACCTTCGCTCGCGAGTCCGTTGGCGGGCCGGAGTTGGTGTACAAAGTCCGGGACAAGCTCAGGATTGTAAGTCAGCCCAACATGCAATGCAGACATGCAGCATAAGGAGTTATAGGGGCTATCTGGGGTTGGAATTGACGACCATGGTATGCTGACGGTGCGTTTCTAGGACATTCTCCAGCCGTTCAATCTCCCGCGGTCACCGTTTGCATACTGCGGCATCCTGCTGCTCTCGTTTGCTCTCTTCGACCTGACGCTGGCCATCAAGCTGCCGACGCTGAACCACGTACTGGCCGTGGCCGAGTTCATCCATCGCCAACAGCTTCGACAGCAGCAGGAGCGGCAGCAGAGAGAGTCTCTTCTCCAGTCTCGGGCGTCGTCCTCCTCGTCCTCGTCTACTGCTCGGCCTCCGCCGATAATATCAAGATCAAGACTGCCATATACCCGGCCGCCAGCTTCTCGAAGCTCGTCCACTTCATCCACGGCCTCCACTGACTCGGACTCGTCTACCTCTACCGAGCTCAATGAAGCTGCGTTGAAGATTACCGCCGAGTTCTCCTCCCTCTACCGCCAGCTGTGCATTCTCCTGATCACACTTCGGTCATGGATATTTATGATCGTGTCGTTGCAGATTTATCTCTCCTCTGACACGGAATGGGGTGCTGCATCTACAGCCTTGCCGTCAACGGCCACGGTAGGTGGAATGCCGGCCACAAGCACTCTAGCTGCAAGTACCATGGCAACTCCTTTCCAATCTGCGGCCGGAAAGACTATCCTATGGCTGGACCAGAACATGCATTTTACCCGAGACGGACCCAGCACTGCAGCTGTTGTGTCCAAATCTGCGTTGGGATATGATGTGAATGATCTCAAGAGGAAGATTGTGCTTGGCTACGGAGTGCTAGAGCTGATGTTCTCATGCTGGGTGAGTGTTTCTCGACGATATACTGCCACTCCTGCCTCGAACTGAACTGGATCTAATGCATGATAGATACTGTTTGCACTCCGTCATGAGAAGAAACAAGCTGAAAACCAACTTCGTGCTGTCGGCATAGGCGTAGGTGCTGATATCATTGCTGATATGTGATGACATGATACTGCCGATACACTCCTTGCCCATGATTTCTCATAAAATGATATCCCTGCCCATCTGGTCTCCTTTTTTTTATTTTCTACCATATCCTTTTCCTGTGTTTGCTGCGTTTCATAGCGATGGGTTCTGTCTTGCGGTTTACCTTATGATTGTTTAGCACATATACATACACTAATAGACGAGGACATAAACCAGGGTTCAGAATTGCTACATAGACATTGCTAGTTTGACAGGGAGCTGCTTCTTGGTCTTTCCCTACCCTGAATGCGAGGTGACCAATAGGTTGCATGCTGCGTGAGACTCGTAACATGCTCAGCCCAGCCTCGTTCTCAACTGGCATCTCCTGTCCTGTATTTAACTAACACATAGACATATGGCTCTTCCTGCATGCTTCCAGCACCAGCAGCCGGATCCTCCTGATACTCCCTGGCATTTATATGTCGACCTCTGCTACTAATGTCTCTTCTTAGTTCCTTCAAAGGCTCCATCCTCTCAGCAACTAACGAAAATACTGCATGCCTGGCGAATCTCAAATTTGACTTCTCCCTTGTCAAAGTCGAAGCGCCTCTAGAATTTCAGCCGTTAGGGTCCGCCCTGACTTTTAGGAGACGAGATGAAGCCGAGTATGGCCCGCAGCACCAGACAGCTCGACGGCTGGCGGCATTGTTCGAACCCCTAATCCCGTCTACTCCAAAGCTCATCTCCGCGTACGGTACGAGAGTCTCCGAAATCATTGAGTCCCCTGGTGTCAACCCCACCGGCTCTCGAGCTCATGGCCCATTCAAGGAATATGTAGGGGCCGACGGGACAGCAGTATGGGCGGCTGCGACATCTGGTGTCGCTGCACTGGGCATATATCTACTCTCCTGCCTGCTTGCGCGGGCATGGGATTCTGGAAAAGCGATAGCTATCTGGGTCGAGCTGATCGAGGAGAGGAAGAGGGAAATCCAGAGTGCGTTTGAGAGAAACGTCCCTATCTCCACAGCCAGCGCCATGAGCTCTCTCCAGCCAATTGCCAGACATGATATTGCGCTGTGGGATGCAAGCTCGCGCTCCTGGCTACGCAGTGCTGATCAAGCAAAGCAGCGTGATCATGACCAGCTGCTACTTATATCGAAAAATGTAAGGATGCCTTTTGTCGGAGGCTCATCCACGTATGAACAGGTGGTTTCGACCTGGAAACGGGCAATGCTGGCTGTCGAGGACCTGCTATGCGGTCGTCCTCAGTCGATACTGGATGCCGGGGTAGTATTGGCCATGTCATCCTGGCATCTATACCCAGACATGATTGTTCTAAGGAACGAAACGGTGAATGTGAAGTTCAAAGACCCCTTATTCCCCAGCACTGGTGTCTGCACAATTGGTCTCGAAGGGTCAGATGATGAGGGAGCAGAAGGCGTGCGGTGGTCGCTAGCCCTGTCCCATCTGCAGTACTACGGGAGTGCTGTCAAAGTTACAGGTCCGAGAGATAATTCTCGAGTAACTATATCCCAGCTGTGCATTGTCGCTTTCGGAGGCCTTCTTGGCCACTGGGGCGTTGGTTCAAAAGATATCGAAGACACTATTCAACTATTCTGTTGCATTGGAGACATTCTGAATTCCTCCGCCTCCGAAGAACAGCCAGAGCTACATATCCAAAAGCCAGAACGGTGGATTAATCCCATTATCCACGCTTGCAGGAAACTGAGCTCATCTAAGGGAGAAGAGAAGGAAGAAAATACCAGGCTTCTCAGATATGGTCAGCGGAGAGCAACGAAGTTCCTTCGACGGGATGAAGATAAAATTCCCCCGTACTTTGGTCTTTGCAACCAGCTTCTCCTCTCGGCACTTTCTGGCGACGACTGCGACCTTACATATTTGAGAGGACTCGCACAGTCGATGGGCTATGCGAGTAGCGACTGTCTGATTGTCCAGGCCCACTGGATAGGACGGGGCTGGAAAAGCGGAAAACCGCACTATTTTGAATATGCTACGGCAACGCCTCTCTGGATAAAGGCCACTGGCAAGAGAGGCTCAGAAGGAGAAGAGATATACCATGAGATGCATGCTAAATGGTACTCCATATGCTCTGATAGCAGTGGGAGCACTGAAAAGGTGGAGAAGGAGATCAACAGCCGCGTCAAGCGCATCAACCTAGACCCTACAACCAATGAACGCTGCTTTTTCACTAAACATGGACAGACTGCATCCGACAGTGAGCTCCTCTCGGTGAAGTGGCACAATCCTCCGCCACTCTTCCGTTGCCGGGAAGGCCAGGAGCCTGCCCGGGGACCAGCAGCGATATCAGACATGGCCTGTTTGGTAGCTGATGAGCCTGCAAGTACATGCAACTGTTTCGAGCTGGAGCTCCCAAATACATTCGTTTCAACAGCCGGGAAAGCTTACTCTGGCTTCATCAACGTATATGGAAGCCGGCGCTTTGCCCTGTTCGTTAGAGACACACCTAACTCCCGGAGCCAGCATGATAAGTTTGTCAAATGCGGCGCTATATCCCCCAAACAGGCCGTCCAGCAGCTTTGCAGACACCCGATACAACTGACGAAGATGAACGAGTATCTAAACATGACCCATCCGAAAAAGCCCGTGACTGGTACAGATTTGTTTATTCTGAGAAATTCTAGGATTGTCTCCTCTCACACCTCTGCTGCTCTGCATTCCTTGTACCTCGCAACGCTTATATACAGCAAATTGGAAGGGTTGACCGTACTATTGCGCATTGCATCCCAACCTCTATGCGATGCCAGCTGGGTCTTAGATGCTTCCAGCTCCGCAATGAGATCCAAGGCCCGGAAAACCCATCCACAGGCCCCCAGCAGACAAGAGGCCTTTGCCTGTATTGCCCACTTTGATTCGGGACAGGCGAATATCCGACCAAGCGACCTAGACAGTACATTGGCAATCTGTAACCAGAACTCGATATTTGTAGCAGCTGTGGTACTATCTGACCCCCTGGAAAAGGTCGAGGACTACGAGATAAGACGGCTGGTGGGCAATATTGGAAAGAGAGGCATATCAATGCTAGTTGCTCCTCACAACCCGCAGATCCGTGAGCCCAAGGATGATTACTGTATTGTCAACCATGCGCCCTACGACGGGAAACGGGAGAACAACTTCAACGACACTTCGCTACATCTCTCGTTTACTGAGTGGACTCTACCGCTAGCTACGGCAGACAGCCAGACCATCGACCAGGATGTCTTCCTGGTTGAGTCTGTCATATCGGTGCGAGACCGAGGAGAATGGGTGGCCGATCTTGATATACTCGGCATCAAGAGCAGGATGCTGTTCGGGAATGGGTTTGATTGCCCCAGCCTAGAAGATGATGAAGACGACGAGAATGCCATGCTTATGTATGGGTATACGTCTATTGATAGCTGGGAGGAGCTACTTGACCCCCCGCTGGGAGTGGGCATATTCCGAGCGCAGGGGAACTGGGTGGCTCGTCTTGCCGCCGTCAGCATATTGATGCAGAGGAAGAAAGGCATTGATATGGCCGTCTTCGGCAAGAACCTTAGCCTACGGTCATTTGAAGCTCGGCTTCAGTTCGATGTTGAAGCTCGAGGTGCGAAGCCTCCGGAAAGCTTCATCTGCATAGACTGAGGCAATCTGTGATGGAGACTGGATGTAGATGTCATGTCTACGAGACGACAGCTACGCTTGTGGGGAATCTGCACACGAGCTGCATGAACAGCTGTACATGTCTTATTATTGACAACGGTAACGGATACCCGAGATCAAGATGCGGGGATGCTGGCGCTATACTTCCATATGACCGGGTCCGCTGCATGATGACGGTGGGATGACGACGGCGAGGAGAGGCGTATCAGGGATGGGTATATTTATAAGGTTAAGATATTTCGTAATAACAAACTAGGATCAGTTTCTTCTTGTCACTCGTCGAGTAGAAAAAGAAGGAGAAAAAGCAAAGCAAATGAAGGTGGAAGAGCAAATTACATAAGGCTATATTGCAGGATATAATATATTGCATTAAAAAGTGGTGGACAAAGGAGAGATGGAGCAAACAAGGAGACGAGCTCGCACATAAGACACAGACACAGGCACACGCACTGCTTGAACGAGGAACGTCTTCATCTCGAGTTCTCCATTCTGCATCTGTAATTACCTCATACTGTTATTTCCTTGAATAAAGGGTATATATGACTGGCTGGTATTCTGCGCTGCACGCGCGAACTGGCATATTCGATAAGGAGGTGAGGTGTAAGGAGGGAGGGTGGTGGTTAATTATTTCGGAAGATCCGAAGGACTACGCCACGGCGATGACAAGAGCAGCAATGGCAGCAAGGAGACCACCGTTGGCATTGACGGAAGCGGCAGCGTTTCCGGTCTGAGTGGGAGCACCGGTCGAGGTAGCGGGAGAGCCAGATCCAGAAGAGTGGGCGGTGGAAGATCCAGATGGGCGGCGGCTGGTAGGAGTGGGAGAGTTGGTGCCGGTGATGGCGGTGCCGGTGACAGAGCCAGTCTCAGAAGAACTGCCTCCGGACGAGGTTGGAGTGCTCGAAGCAGGGCCAGACGAAGAAGAGCCACCGGTAGGGCAGACGGCAGAGTCAGGGACGTTGACGCCTACACCGCCGCAAATTCCTTTGGCGAACTGGATAGTCTCTGAGTACCCCGGCAGTACAGTTAGCAGAGTTCCCCCGGTAATCCTATATGCGCAGCAGCATATAGCTTGGCTAGCTTCGGCAACTAACTAGCTAGCTAGCCGCAGCGTGCAACAAGACGAATGGAAGAATAAAAGACGTACTCTTCTGCTCCTCCGCAGTGCAAGTTGTAGCCACGCAGCAGGTGATGGCATCGAGGAAGGTATTGCTGGTGCAGACACACTTCACATCGGCGCCGCAGCTCGAGGGGAAGCCTTTGCTGGCGCAGTCTTGCTGTGAGGGAGCGTTAGCTGACGGTGATACGGAGAGCTGGGAGGCGTGTGCATGCTTGGGTCCATGCCGGTTCATGCTGGCGGAGGGAGACGTACGGCGCACTTGGGGAGCTCGCTGACGCCCTGAGCAGCGGCGACAGACACGAGAGCAGCGAGGGCGACGACAGAGAGCTTCATGGCGGCGGCAGCAGACGTCCTTCCGGGCAGCGTATTAGCGTATTAGCGTAGAACGTAGGGCGTAGGGCGTAGGGCCGTTGGGATGCTGGATGCTGGATGCTGGATGCTGGCGGTGCTGGAGGAGGTGAGGTTGCGGACGAGACGAAAGCGGTCGACGACGTTGGTTTTATTTATATAGAGTTGGCGGACAACGCAGCTAAACGAGACGACAGGCGAAAAAGAACAACCGCCCACCAGGCACAGGCGAAGAAAAAAAGCACACGAACTTCCCCCTGATCCATGGCCTTAGCAGCTTGACCACGGGGCGAGGAGAGCCCGTTCAGGGGCCCGGAGGATTAATTGCCCAGCTATTCTACGGGTGTCATCTAGATTGCGCTGCTACGGGCGGTCTAACACAGGTACGGAGTCCATCGTCTTCTAGAGAGAGAGCTGGCTGTGTGTCTCACGCATCTATAGCTACAGGCAGAGGAGCCGTCCCGTCGTCTCGAAAGTTGCTGGGAGTCAGGCCGCGAGCAGCCCAGCTGGGATTGAAATACGAATTATTCAGGCTTGGGTGACCGGCGGGCGGGCGAAGGACTATCACTCTTGTCCCTCCACCCCGTCCCGTCAGCGAGCAGCAAACCTGCACGGCAGCGGGTAACAAACAATCGTCGTCGCATCACCTGCAAGAGAGGAAACGAGAGGGTCGGATGGATGTAACAGTTAGGATCTCCTGGGCCTGATCTGGGGCAATCCTTGCATCGCGCATATTTTAGTCCCATTCGGTGGCGTGGCCGGGTCGGCTTTGACTTTTCTAGCTGGTCCCAGTTTGTGGCCTGTCTGGTGAACCAACCAGGCCGGGGGGGGGGTGAGGATACTTAGGGGGGACCCTTCGATCTCTATCCACTCTCGGCGGCGGGCTCTCTCTTCTTTTTAAAGATCGGGTGAGAGTCGCAGACATATACAAGACCGGGGCAGCTGCTTCTCCCGTTCAACCAGGCCAGGCCGTCTCTGTCTCCTTCTCTGCCACCATGGCGTTGGGCATCCTCGAAGACTCGAAGCTCGACAATGTTCCTGGTTAGTTTTCCCTCACATGAAACCGAGAGCACGCAAGGAGAAAAAAAAAAAAATCGATTTAAAAGAGTGTCCCCGGGGGGAGGCAGTGCGGGATATAGAGTGATATTGACTTGATATAGGGACAACATACGTGCTTGACGACGATGGAAGCTCCGTCGAGACGCCTGTTCCCGAAGAATCGCACCTGAAATACGACAAATCGGGCGCTGTCCCTATCATTCTCGTTCCGCAGCCGAGTGACGACCCTAACGATCCCCTGGTGAGAAAACACCATATTCTCACGAGCACAGGCCGAACGAGAGAATAGAATACTGACGAGCTGCAGAATTGGCCGCTATGGAAACGAGACCTCATTCTGGTCATTCTTTCCGTCACCTCGGTGATATGCGCTACCACTTCCTCCATCATGGCCGCAAACACGGTTACAATCGCACTCAATTACACCATTGATTTCACCCAGGCAGCTCTCTTGACCGGGTACCATCTCTGCGGAGTCGGGGTCGCCGGTATCATAATAGTGCCAACCGCTCGAGTATGGGGGAAGCGACATCTTTTCTTGCTCGGAAATCTCATCATCGTCATCTCCTGCATCTGGGCCGGCCTCAGCAAGCGCAACCATACCAGCCTGATCTGGGCAAGAATATGGCAGGGAGTCGGTCTCGCTCCGTTCGAAGCTCTCGTCAATGCCGTCGTTGGCGACCTCTTCTTCGTCCATGTACGTTCACTCGATTACAGACTCCCCCTTTCTTCGTTTTTATTCTATCTTCTAACGCGCGAAAAAATAACTAGGAGCGCGGGAAACGCATGGCCCTCTCCAACGTTGCGCTTTTCGGAGGCGCATTCCTCACCCCCGTCATAGCTGGGAAAATGACCCATACCTTGGGCTGGGAATGGACCTTCTACTTCATTGCGATCTTCTCTGGCGCCTGTCTGCCATTCGTCTACTTCTTTGTTCCCGAAACTGCCTATAAACGTGCTCAACACCTCAATACCGACTTCTCAGGGGACGTCGATCGGCGCACCGCCAGAGCAGCCGCTCAAGGAACTATTGAGAAAGAAGCAGATGCCGACTCCGCTGCTGGACCCAGCTCAGCTGCAGTGGCTGCCAACGGTGATACCGTACAACCAGATGTACCACGGAAGGCTACATTCGTCGAATCACTGGCTCTCTTCAACGGCCGCAAGACAGATGAGAGCTTTTGGAAGCTTCTCCTACGGCCATTTCCTCTCTTCTTGCACCCCAGTATTGCATGGGTAGGCTTGCTTTCTTTCTTTATCCCCGCACCTCATTTTCATTATTCATTACCTATTATTCCTTTTGATCAATTTGCGCGCCTGCTAACTAGCTTCCACAGGCGTGCCTCATTCAAGGCGTCATCATTGGCTGGACAGTCTTCATTGGCGTAGTCCTGGCTGCAATCTTCCTCGGACCACCACTCTGGTTCACAGAAGAACAGACTGGATATCTCTACACAGGTGCCTTCATAGGATCCGTTGTCGGCCTTTTCCTATCAGGCCTCTTCTCAGACTGGTCTGCCAACCTACTTATCCGCGCCAACAAGGGCAAATATGAGCCCGAATTCCGTATCTGGCTCGTCCTACCTCAGCTGGTATTCAGTGGCATTGGCCTGTTCGGCTTCGGGTTTGCTTCTGGAAACGTGTCCAAGTACGGATGGGTGATACCAGATGTCTTCTTCATGTTTGTTCTTATCGGCATGGTTATGGGAGCTGTAGCCAGCGCCCTTTACATTGTTGATGCTCATCGTAAGTTCTCTCTCATTGGCCATATCTTTCGTATCCGTGAAGTGTCGGCTAATAACTTCCGACAGGTGAAATTGCCATTGAGTCATTCACTTGTTTGCTTGTGTTCAAGAACATGTTCAGTTTCTTGCTCACTTACTTTGCATACAACTGGGTGGTTCTAGGCGGAGCCAAGAAGGTTTTCCTTATCATTGGCGGCATCGAAGTAGCTGTCTGTTTGCTCAGTGTACCAATGTGTAAGTAACCCCAGCTTTCGCCCCCCCTTTTTTTACTATATCCCATTTCCTAACTAGGTTAATTCATAGACATCTTCGGCAAACGTAACCGCTCGTTTTTCCATCGTCACGACATTCTCAAGATGCTTAATTTGTGGTAGGTTAATGCTATTATGGGCATATGTTTATTAAGATACCTCATGTTACTGTTGTTTTGTTTTGCCCCTGTTCTGCTTCCAAGTTGTGCTTGTCCGTTTCGGGATCTGCATGGAATGTCTTGTTATTGATTAGACTCGTACCACTTGCTATCAGTTGCCACTTAGCTGCGAAGTTATTATAGGATGGACACTTACTAGACTTTTTTAATTCATTTAATATATGCATTACTATATACAGTATTAATCAATACCTAGCTTTGATCATGATTCATATCATATCTACTTATCATCGCTTTCGTCAACCTTCTTCCCTTCAGCCATTGTACCCTCCTCATCAACGCTGGTCAATGTAACCATCCAAACGGAAGGGATAGCCAGCACCAATGCCCCGATACAAAGCCCCCAATCCATCGCAAACTGTGTCAACGGCGCCGCACCAAGGGCATTGACTCTCCAAGCCATTGCTCCTCCGGCAGCCTGGAATGTTTTATACGCACCTACCAACACAGCTGCCACGGCCGCAGAGTTCGACATAGTACCAATCAACCAGTAGCAGTACCCCTGCCATAAAGCATCGTATGCTCCGTAGAAGAAGTACAACCAGATAGGGCCAGTAGCGATCTTGGCGTCACGGGCGTAATCAATGTCCTGCTTCATGCCGTTTGCAAGTCGCTCATCCTCCCAGCGCTGGAAGGCAAGTCCACCGCCCCAGATTACCATACCAGTCACCAGAAGTGTAGCCCAGCCGAGCCATGCACGTTGCCGGCGATTGAAATAGGCAAAGTCCAGAAGGTAGCCCATAAATAGGCCACCAAACATCTGTGCCATCCAATATATAGCCGAGTTAAGCGATCGGGAGCGAATGTTGAACGTTGTACCATTGACATTGTTCTGCTGGTACGAGTAGAACACGTTTGCGCAGAAGAAGAGCGGAAGAACGCATAGTACCCGGATCTGTAGAAGTGATTGAAGGATAGTATATAGCCTTTTTCCAATTGATTGGTGAACGACGCTGGTCTCGGCCTCGTGTAGTTGCAGCAACTTGATGCGCGATGGGGGACAGATGAAGACGCCAATAACCCATCCGAATATCATGATCACCATAGTTGCGATATATGTACTATTCGACACCGAGCCTTCTTTGGAATTGAAATTCAGCCCAAAGCTGGCCAGGGAACCGATCATGCCGCCCAGATTGAAAATAATCCAAAATACAGCGATGGCTCGTCCCTTTTGCGACTCGGGTACATAGGTGGTCATTATTGCGCCCTGGGTAACCCATAGAAACGAGGCACCAACACCAAGAATCCCTCCAGCAGCAATCACGAATGTGCCGTTGTGTCGTACTGGTATGCTCTTAGTTATATGATCTATATCATTTTACGGGAAGGGAAATGTAATGTAGGACTTACTGTTGAAGTTCAACAAGCTCGCACTGTATAGGGCATATGTCCACCCACCCACTAGCCAGCAAGCTCGTGGGCCAACAACCGAGAATATCGGTCCAACGAAGAACAGGGCAGTAGCTGCTGTGGCAGAAAGCAGTGCAACATTTGCATTGGCAGCAACGGTTGCGTCTACCTGGCCAGACCCTCCAAGTCCGGTGAGAGCGTTGTACATCTATATCGAGTGCTTTAGCGGTTGCACATATTGCGAATGGAAAGGGAAATAGCTTACACCAGGGCAGCAAAAACAGATGAAACTGATCAATAACACTTGGAACCATGCATGGCTATAGATGTCCATCCATTTAGATGACTTGGGACTTTCGGAACCACCGCTTTCCATCTGTCCTGCCTGAGATTTTGCAGGCACGGAGTTTGCCATGTTCCCCTATCTTCTGCCACTCTCTTCGTCCCACCTTGAGATCACTAAGAAGTTATTAGCCAGATCGAGGATATTCCTTATGAAGAAGCCCTTGGTAATAGAAATGGCGACCAAAACACGCTCTTAAATAAGGGTGCACCATGTCAAAGGATCCAAGCTTTCTCTTAAAATAGCCCCTGACTCAGGGCATGGGGAAAGTCTCATGGTCGCTTCCAGGTGCAGCAGAAGGTTGTATTCAACTGCAAAATCCCGGACGTTAGATCCGGGGTAAGTAAGACACTTTATTGCTGTGTCTTACTCTGGATTTGAGGCAACGAATTCTCAGTCGTTGGAGATATCAGCAAGGCTGGGGCTTGTACAACCTCCTGATCCTTTGCCTTATTTTTTTTATAATACAAATCTAGCCATCCTCAGCTTTCTAGCCAGTCTCTATGCATTTTCACAGCGAACACCGGCAGTCTCACCTGTGAACTGCCAGTGGACCAGCGTCGCATCTCGGCTCTCCAGATCCTTCTCGGTCGAACAGAGTCCGATGTGGGAGTCTCTGTATGTTCCTCGTATTCTCGACCAGTGAGCCCGTTTCTTCTCTGCGGGAGGCAAAAGACAAAATCAGGACTCCCAGGTGCAGCTCAACACCACACTGTCATCAATAGTCCTTGAGGTGAAAAGTCGGTGGTATCGAAATATTCAATCAGCTTTGAATCTCTGCAGGCAAAGAATAAAATAGGACGTTGAGAGTTGCCTCTTTGGGCGAGATCACGTGTAACTCTAACTGGCTCTAATATATCGACCAATTTACTTTGTAAAATTTGATTCACCTCTCCAACCCGATAAGCAAGAAGAGATAGAGAGATGAAGATAAAGTATGAATATTTCAAAGTGCAAAAAGCTGCATTACCAGTCCAAAGAATCTATTCTCGGCTAGCTATTTATTAGTTACCGGGTGGGCAGCCAAGTTAGCTGGCTTCGAGAACCACTGATGAGACAATTGCTAGATAAATGCAACTGCAACGATGAACTTCTCCAAACCTCAAAGCTCGGGTCGTCCATGGTCTCCAGGCTCGGGAAACATGGAGTGGGTCATTTTGGCTCGAGATGTGACTTCGGGTTTGGAGCCCCCTCCCGGCCTAGTGATATATTAGCTACGTCTCCTAGGATAAATGCCCTTCATCTTTTTCAAAACGAGACCCTGAAGGTGAATATCGACAGTGTATATCGGCAGCAAGCGAATTAGCTGCCAGGACTGTATTAACGAGTTCAGCGTGACGTTATGGGTTCCTTTATTGACCTGTCCACCCTGCAGACAGAAGGATTAAACCCTCGGACGACAAATATAGACCGTGTTTCAACAGTCCAACTCTGTTATCTGATAAATAGTGAAGATGCTACGGTTCCTAGCGTGGTTAGCTCTCATATACCAACAATAGCTGCTGCAATTGATGCATTGGCACTTCGGGTATCTCAAGGTGGACGGGTTGTATATGTTGGAGCAGGCACAAGTGGAAGGTGAGATGGCTATCGAGTCAAACCCATATCCGTTCGGATCATCCAGCACAACTAATTCTAGATTCAATCGAGATAGACTTGGGGTGGTTGATGCATCGGAAATACCCCCGACGTTCTCTGCTCCGTTTGGGCAATTTGTTGCCCTTATGGCTGGTGGAGACGCGGCAATGCGAAAGGCCCAAGAAGGCGCAGAAGACGACCATAATGGTGGTAAACGAGATCTGCAAAACTTGGATCTTAAACCAGAGCTTGACTCGTTGATCGGAATTGCTGCTTCAGGCCGCACCCCTTATGTGCTATCTTGCCTAGAGTATGCGAAGAGTCTTGGGTGCGTTACTATTGGCATTGCATGTTCAGATCCCTCAACAATGAGTGCTTCCGGGCTAGTGGACTATATGATAACTCCGGTCACTGGGCCTGAAGTCATAACTGGGAGCACTAGAATGAAAGCTGGCACAGCTACCAAACTAGTGCTAAATATGCTGAGTACTGGAATCATGATTAAGATTGGAAAAACATATGGCAACATGGTATGCGCATATTGTTTTCATTTTAATTTTTCCCTTACTGGGATCTAATTTTTTTTCATAGATGGTTGATGTTAAGACTTCAAATTTGAAGCTTCAACAGAGGTCAAGAAATATCATCCGAAAGCTCAGTGGCTCAGCATGCCCATCCACAGATCAAGAAATAGATGCGTTGCTTCACAAGTGTGATGGTAGCGTTAAGCTTAGCCTTGCAACTCTTGCCCTAAATTCGACTCCCGAATATGCAAAAACGAAGCTGGACGCTTCAGGTGGTAAACTTTCTGCGATATTGCCCATCGATTCGATATCTGCAGTGGATAAACATGGTTCCAATGCTGTTGAAATCAGCCAGTCTACCACTTCATCCCAAAGATACATTCTATATATAGATGGGGGAGGTACAAAATGTCGCGCAATCGTTGTCAATTCGCTATCGCAGAAGGGCGAGGGTGAGGGAGGACCTTCTAACGTGTATGCTCGAGATTTCCAATATGTGTCAGAATAACTATTGACTAATGACTCTTTTCAGATCCGAACTTCCCCTAGATTTTGCAGTCTTAGCGATCAAGCTTGCCGCAGAAAGAGCTCTTGACAATCTGTCTTCCCTTTTGCAACTGAAGTATCAAATTTTGAACCTGCAAAATGTCGAATTCGAAGCAATTTGGATTGGAGTTGCTGGATATGATCGGCCTCAAATGAAATCAGCGCTTGACTCGAAGTTGTCATCCATATTCCGATTGGCCAAGAATGGAGTTCTAAAAGTATCTAATGACATTCAAGTACTGGCATCGGCACCTTCACTTCACCATGACACAGTGGTCCATCGTCCTGCAACCAACATCGTCCTCATTGCCGGGACTGGAAGCGTTGCAGTGAAGTATCGCCATGACGGATCGACCGGGGAACTGGTCCCGAGTGGGAGATCTGGCGGATGGGGCCATTTACTTGGTGACGATGGGTCTGGCTTTGACCTAGGTCGATCTGCCATACGATCTACGCTCTTTGCTCTTGATATCCTGCGTCATTCCTCAAATGGGGAGCCTTCCTTGGAAAACATCGAAGAGATGCTAAGCCCATTTTGTCGAAAGATTCTCGATCATTTTGGTATCTTGCAAGACACCAATAATAACTACGATCTGCTCAGTGCTATATTGACAAATACTTGTCCCGAAAATCGCTACCCCAAAAACAAGATCGCTAGTGTGGCGAGGCTAGTATTGGACGTCTTTAAGCCTCCCCAACAGGATCAGCAATCAGCTGATGATGCCAAAGCTGGCAGTGAAGCCCACGATATCATCAGCCAGGGAATCCGAGGCCTAATTCGCATGCTGAAACCTCTCCTACCACAGGCAGCTGGTTCTGGAAATTGCAATCTGATATTAGGCGGTGGACTGCTTGCAGGAAAAAATGATGCATACCGTTCTGAATTGATATCGGAGCTAGAAAAAGATGGTATTATCCCTCAAATTATCTCCTCAACCACAGTTGTCAACGACCCCTGCAGTCTAGGGGCGACGATGCTGGAATCAACATATCTGAAGAGACATGTAGGATAGACCACCATGTGAATACCCAGCGCCCCATATAACTATACATTTACCCCAAGAAACTTTTCCATCCTTTCTTCTGCTTTTCCTCCGCCTTTAGTCGAGCTTTCTCCTCCGCAACTCCTTCTGCATGGCGAGTCATGTATTTAACTATCATGTCGCTATCCCTTTTCTCCAGCTCTTCTTTATTCATTAGCCCTTTGCCCCCATCAGGCGAGGTATCAGCATCTAATTTCCCATCATATGGTGTAGCACCGTCATATCCAACCCCTATAACCTGGATGAGGGAGTTACACTTTTGCATCAGCCAGTCATTGTTATCCATACCATCTCTCCAGTGAGAGGGAAGAGAGTTATACCCAAGCCAGGACCCAAGAAGTGCACCAGCAGCACATGCATTGGTATCTGCGTCCCCTGCCTCATATGTAAGCTCTGTGATAATGTTCTCGAAAATAGCTGAATTAGTGAGAGGGGGAGGTGATCCAGTTCCTGGAGTACTGCCATGGGGTGATTTTTGCATGCCCATTCGAAGACTCAATATTGCTGTTCCCAGGCACTTATACACGTACCCGATTTTGTATGAAGCGTCAAGGAGTAGATCAGAAAAGGTCTTTGCGTAGGCATGCTGGTTAAACTCTTCTCTGTCAAGGAACTCCCGAGCGTCAGGCTCGTATATGTCACTGTCAGCCTCCTTTTGTGCGTCATCCTTGGGCAGCCGAACGTCCCGGACCCATGAGTCGACCCACGTATAGGCGTCCTCTAGAAGAGTATCCAAACCCTTTTCATCCAATATTTCTCCTCTCAATATCCCACGAATCAGCCCGGTGGAAATGCAACATGCCAGAATGCATCGCGGATCCGCATGAGTAATCAGAGAGAAATCGGTAGCAACCTGGAAGGTTTTTTCCAAGCTAAAGGCAAGGCATATGATACCAAGAGGATGTGTTCTCATTAAAGATCCGTTCGGTGCCACATTTCTACCACCTTTTACCCAGTACTGATGTGCTTTCTGACTTGGGTTGGTGAGGTATTCCTTGTCGAGGACAATCTGCAGAAGACAATTAGAGCTTGTCAAATCTATACTTCATAGCATGTAAGTTTCTTTCAATACATACCGAACCCACTGTTTTTCCGATGCCACAAGGAGGCCGATCTAGAGCCCTTAGTCCTTGGTCAATCCAAATTTTCAGACGTTCTGCTAGGTCAGTGGGAGAGAGAATCTGTCCGTTGTGGTGTAGATATGAGAGTAGTATTAAGAGAGCATGGTCTGTATCATCCGTCCATGCTTTCTAAATATACGAAGAACAAAAGAGCGGTTATTAAGATGTCTAGCTTGTCAAAAAGACATCTCCAAGATTAAAACTTACCAGTTCGAATTTGTCTATACCCCATTCGCCATTAGTGTCATAGTTTGCAATGGATTAGAGTAAGGGAGAATGCAGAGCTCACTCCTATGGCCATCATTTCGGAATTTAGTAGCTGGATCTACTAGCTGGAATCTACCTTGAGGGTACGCATCTTCGGCAATCTTCTTAGACAGGAACTCTAGGTATTTTGGTAAGCTCCTCTGTACACGGCGCGTGGGGGAAAATAGCCAACCTGTATATAAACCAATACAGTCACCCAAGGCAGATCCAAAAATGACTCCACGAATCTTGTCTTGCAGAGTTGCTTTCACAAATGGATGGGTAGATACAAAATCTAACCCAGTACCATTCTTGAGAGACATTAGTTCACGTTCGGACGTGGTGTACAGTGAGGGGTATATCGGTGCACACGAAACCTGGCAATCAAATGCTTTTAAGGGTTTCAGAAGATGTTTCTTCACCGTAACAATCACAATGATTGATCTAAGTATATATAGGCCGTAAAACCTGTTGCCTGGCAGCTGGCTCGTCAACTCAGCCTCCGGCGCCAAGCGACTCCGCCCTGCTGGTTAAGGTTGGCGGGAGGCCCACGCGCTCTTCGGGCTGCCAAAGAAGAGACGACGTCTCAAGCCGCTCGCTAGCTAGTTATCCATATTTCCACTCGATTTGTTATGCCTTAGAATTGACGTGTACCCTCGCTTGAAAGTAGCCAACAGAGGCGAAAACCAGTTAATCTATACCTAATTTATAAGTAACTTCCCTAGTCTCTCGACTATTCAATGACCGTGTGAATTTCTATTCAGTGGTCTCGAAGTAAATCAGCATGAAGGAAGTTACTCGAAAAGTTCGCTATGAACTGTTCCAGTTCTACCTCCAAGAATGCTGCCCACCTACTGAGGATGAACTGGCCAAATTATCTGGGCTTGGATCTTGCGAAATACCGTCTATTCTCCGTAAGCTTGAGGAAGAGCATCGCATAGTCCTATACAAGCACGAATCGTGTGCGCCAACTCCTATGGCAATGGCACATCCGTTTCCACACCTGTGAGTTTGCAGGGCTAAAATATCTAATGTCGCCTTAAACCACCAAATTGAGCCATAACTGACTACTTGTACCTGTAGTCCAATCCCATTTATAGTGGTTAGTCTATGCTAACTCATGAGTTAAAAGCCGAGTTTGACAATCTTCTTAGTCGGAAGGTGAGCGAAGCTGGTGGGCCAATTGCATATGGTGCGCCCCCGGCCTAGCTGCTATGCTGGCTCCAGACAAAGCCATTATTTCGGTCGGCTCAGGTTCCATGGCCCAAGAGGTACAGGTCGTTGTTAGGGAGATGAACTCAAAGTTATTTACCTTCATCGGGAGCTCAGTACAAGCGATTGCTGTGCTCACTTCTCTGTCCCACCTTCAACGTGGTGGAGAGATGTTCAATTTGTATGTGGCACCATCCAGCTATTCAAATCAAAGCAGGGTGCGCAGAAATGGCCCCAAAAACGTGGCTTTCACACGGGAGAAATCCTAAGCTTGGAGACTGCATGGTCTCTCTCTAAGGTAACTAGTTGCAAGCTACGGGCTCCGGAAATATAAATATTGAAACTAACGTCAGCAACTTAGGCGTGGCACCACAACAAACATCAATATGACTATGACAGAAAGTCGCCAGCAGATGTTACTGAGTTGTATCGCAGTCTCGGAATGACTGTGACTTCTGGAAGTCTTGACATGGCGCAAAGTGCTCGTAAAGAGTTGCCTTCAAATGTAAGAAAAGTGACTGTTCCACCCCTGGGATAGCTAGCTCTCCAATCCGTATACTGCCTTTTCACAGTCAGGCGCATGTAAACAGCATATTCCTTCCCTTGACTTCATAAGTAGTTAGCACCGAGGACCAAGCCGTTGTTGAGGTATCACAAAATGAACTGCTGTATCTGCCATAGAATTTTCAGTCTCAAATAATACCTCATGTGTTTCATCTCACTAGTTATAAGCGTTGCTGTTAAAAACCGCGCAGCACTCGCCAGCTTATATAGGAAGCAGCTCTTAACACCACAATCAGCGGTCAAGTCAATGATCTGAGTATGTCCAAAGTAAAGCCATATATTTAGCGCTTAGTGGGTGCATAAATCAAAAAGGGTGTGACACAACACACTTCGAGTATCCCAATGTCAACAAGTCGCAATCGATCCCTGATTCTCTGTCTGTATTGAAACTCAAGGTTTTGTGGTAAAAATAGAGTTGATTACATAACATGCTTATATTTAACATCACCTGACCATAACTTTGTTTTTTTAATAGATCCCAAAAAAACCCAAAAGTCAAAGCATGGAAGATCAACTCCTAGCGTTGAAGGTCACTTGCGGCCAGCACATCTTGCACGACGACGAGTGGAGCTGCGACCAAGGACGAGAATGCCACGGGCTAAATATGACCGAAGATTGAACAAGCGCAGCTGAACTGTCGGGTTGAGGCCTCAAAATGGTGTCAGCAGCGCGGAATATATACGATTCCCAAGGGCAAGCGAGCCAAGGAAAGCGGGTGAAAGCGCAGCGGAATACGAGAGAGCTTGACGTGCTTCCAATAGCACGTCCTTTCCATATGCAGGCGGAGCCTCTAGCTCGTATCAAACAAAGCCGCCTCCTTTTTTTTTTAAGCCCCATGGATACGACACGGTTTCCCAACACAGTAATTTGGGTATTCTGCGCCTAAGCTTCTTCAGGGCGTAGTGTGTGCTTATGGCGGCCTGCTATGGGACAGGATGCTTCTTGAATGGCTGCTGATCAGCTGAATGCGGTATGGCCCCTAGGGGTTGAGGCAATGCTTTCTAAAAAAAAATATAAAAACTTTTCGCCTAGCATTCGCTCACCGGTTGAGAAGAACCGCCGAGTACATATAGTCGCGACAGGGACATTTGATTTTGTTTCTTCTGTGTCCTCAGATCCCTTGAATTTGAGGCTCTAAAATTTTCATCTGCCTTTGGAGATCTCGTTTCCCTATCGGGAACTGGATACCGCGCTTGTCAATTCTTATTTTATTTTGAATCTCGCGATGGCACCAAAAGGCGGCAAAGGCGGCGGTGGTGGTGGACATTACGGTGGTGGCCGTCATGGTAGCAGCAGCAGCTATTCGAGCAGCTGTGCTTCTGGCGCGTTCAAAGATGGAGCCATTATTGCTTCGATGGTTTTTCTGTCCATCTTCCTTCTCACGTTCCTCTGCTTGGGTTGCCTTACTTCCAACAAGTCAACCGCGATGAAAAAGAGGAACCAGCGGAAATCAAGGTCGTTGTGGTGGGCATTAAGCCTATCATTGACATTAATCACAGCGTATGCTATACCTTACCTACTACTCCATACGCTGAAACCGAAGGAGAAAGTATAGGCTAACATATTGACCGCACAAGATCTACCATACTCTTCATTACAACGACGGTCATGCGCGAGTGTAGATCTACTGATAACTACGAGCTGCTTTCCATTATTCGAACGTGGTTCAAAAACTGGGGCACTCTACTCCTCATTGGAGTAATTATGGTCCCTCTCTGCAAACATCTTCACCAACTGGCCGGCAAAGTTCTCGGGCGCGTCGTTGCAATTGGCCATTTTGTTGTCATGGTTATCATGGCGATACTTCTCGTTTGTTACCTGGGATTGCAGTCCAGCCTTCCGAGTATACGCGCGAACTACAGAGTACTTGATACTCTATCCAAGGTGACGTCTGGCCTAGGGGCTACCTACAATGTAGTCGCGTTTATCGGAACCTGCCTAGCGTCTATCAGCATACTCTTTGCTGTCATTCGAAGCTCTCAGATCCAGAATTCTGTATGTATACCTGAACCCTCAACCAAACATTATTTTCGAGTATGTCGTTTGCCGTTATACCAACTAACAGTTTATCACAGTGGGCAAAGAAATGGATATTCTTTGTGATCATTTTCCCTGTTCTTCTGACCTTCTTTGATGTGGTGTATGGCTTCCATTTCTATGTCAGAGGCCAACCATATACCACCACCGCATTTGCTGTCTTCACCTTTCTGTGGAACTTGTTCTATACCATGTCGTACCTGGCTGTTCTATATATCGTCTCCGAAGGCTCGTTGGCCCCGGTCACGCAACCTGGAGCAATAGATCCAAACGATCCCACCAAAGGCACCTATGTACCAGTTCAGCCTGGCCCCCAACCACCGTTTCAAAACGTCAACACTGCATACAACAGCCCGATGCAACAGCAACAACAGTTTCAGCACAACATGCAAACTCAACCACCCATGAGCCAACCCGGATTTGAGCCTACAAGAAATGATTTCTCTCCGTCTCCTCCACCTCAACAGCCCCAATACTATGATCCCGTTAAAAGCCCCGAGTCTCAGGCCTTGATGCAGGGCCAGACATATGAACAGCCAGCGCCCCAGTATCAGAATTACCAACAACCTGCCGTTCCTCAGCCTTACAGGTAATTCAGAGAGGAGACGAGTTAAGTTGAGTTAGTGCCTGATGGAGCCTTCTCCCGAATAGCCAAACAACCCTGAAGAAACATTAATGTGTGACGGAGAAAATATCATGGTACTGCATGTTTGATATGTTAAAATTCCGGGAGACTGTTCACCTGGTCTCGAACGCCTATTTTGAATGTGGTGCTGTCACTGGTACCTGATAACGATACCCCGTATGCTTTTATTATATCCAACATTTACCTTTTAATAGCAGCGTTTAATATCTAAATCCACTGGGTTTATGCCCTCAATTTCGTTTATGCATGCCATTTGACCCATTAGCATTGAAGTCCAATACCATAAATATTCAATAATGTATCATTACTCTAGTGTACAATTCAGGAGAATGAAAGGGAAAGGTAAAAAAATACAAGTCAATGTGCTTTTATATGTAGTAAGAATAGGTAAATGTTTTTATATGGGTAACAGGGAATTGAAAAGGCAAAAATGAAAGCGAAGCCCATCAACGAAATCAACCCCTTCTACCTTTCTTCTTCTTCTGGGTAATGGAAGAGGTTCTCTCTTCCTCTTGAGGCACAACTTCCTCCTCTTCGGTCTCTTCAGGCATATCGTTTGCTGTAGAGTCAGGAACGGCGCCAACAACTCGTCCAACAGTCTTCTCATATATCCAGATGGGAAGTCTGCAGACCATGGTGTCACGGAAGGTGGGCTTGGGAATTTCGTCAACGTCAAGGAGGAACTCCTCCTTGACACCATCCTCATTTTCTTCAACAAGATACACGTCACCCGAGGAATCGACCAACAGGACCTTTCCATTCTCTGCAATAACACGTTTCCGGTTTCTAGTCTCAACGCCCGCAGGGGTCGCAGTGCCAGATCCAGGAGCAGAAGAGTCTTCACGGTTAACAGATGATTTCGCCTTAGCTGCTTTAACTGGTTTTTTGCCTTCTTTGCGACTGTCCCGCTCCATCATGCGCTTTTGGCGGCGGTTAACTGGAACGGGGGCAGCACCTTCGTCACCTGCATTCTCCCCCGAAGAAGCAGCGGTGGAATGTCCTCTAGAATCCGCAGCACTCTCACCAATATTTGAAACGCCCGGAACACTGAAGTCGTCACCCCAAGCTGCACGGCGAGCCTGTCTGACATAACGTCGCACGAACTGCCTCTGTCGTTTCCAGCTTAGGACAAGGGCAGCGTAATGAGCAGCTCCACCAAAGGCAAGGAACAATCCAAATAGCACAGAGCCCAGTCCAGGGCGGAACCGGTTATAGTAGTATCCAGTACCCTTCCAAGCAGGGAATCCATTGTTCAAGAAGTGATCATATCGCTCACGGCCGGGGCCCTTGAGAATGTCTGCAATCAAACCCAGGCGAGCAAACTGCTGAGTGGCGAGCTTGTGCGCCTTTTCAATCTCACGGTCTGTAGGTCCCTTGGAGACACGGACTCCTGGTTTAGAGCCAGTTTTGGCCTTGCGCGAGCGGCCGTAGTTGGCGATGAAAGCGCGCTTAACTTTGTCGGGGTGCAACTGTTTGGATTTCTTGCGATATGCCTTGACGATCTCGCTCTGGCCAGCATTGGGCTTGACTCCAAGGAAATCTGTTCAGAGTCGGATCAATATACGGTCAATTGATATAGTAGGAGTGTGTATCGCGACTGACCGTAAAAGGTTACATTACTACCCTGGGTGGCGTGCAGCTCATCTCGCAGGCGGAATATTTCATGATCTAAACGAAGTGACGTTAGAGTATGCGGACACTGGCACACTGTCTGAATCGCCGTATCAAGCAGCTCACATACCTTCTTTCGACCAAGCAGCAACGAGGCCAACGAACAGCAGCGCAAAGGCGAGCAATCGCAGAAGACCGAAGTGCCTCATCTTGGGCACACCCGCAGTTCTGCGTAGCTATTCTCCTCCCAAAACCCTTAGCTTTGCGCTCACAATATCGACTGCGATCTAGCAAAGGCCGTCGACAAGAAGTTGGCAGCGCTGTCGAGGAATCCTTCTGCTTGATCTTCGAGGTTTTGTTTGATCAACAAAGATGAAAGTTGAAAGGTGGTTGTATTGGTGTATTGTCACACATTGAAATATTACACCTTCCACTGAGGCAAAAAGGAGTGATTTGTGGGGTAATATATGTATTATGTTGTAATGTTATGGATATTGAGCCTATCCGAAGCTTTTTTTTGCTTAAAAAGACAGATTTCGACTTGAGTGACAGAGGATGTGTGATAACGATGTACCCCAATATGAGACAGCAGGTATATTCGTTGCTGTATAGGTATCTCAGAGTATAGTTGCAGAGATACATACGCCGTGCGAGATGAACAGTCTAAGAACACCGCTCTACCATAACTCATCGCAGGGAACATGCCTATGGATACTCTCTTTACATTCCTATACTTATGCATTGCCATGTCTACATTTATTTCGTATTTTGTATTTTTGCAATAGCTATCAATTTATCATTATTGTCTGCTTGATCTGCGTCTCAGGGGCTGAACTGCTTACATCATCCTGCCAAGCCACAATGTGTCCACGTCTTGTGCTTTTAATTTCTTCGTCTTCAGCTTCGGCCCTGCGACTTCGCCAACTTCGTCTCCTCCAGCTAGGCTGCAATATTCTTCTTGTTGGTGCTTATATACCTCGCCGTCCGCGTCTCGGATTTGCATTTCACGTAGTCTGTGACAAGCTGGAAAGAAAAAAGGTTAG